CTCTTCCTTATGAATCATTATTTTTATACAAATCTAAGAAGCTGCCAAAGATTAGAAGAGGTATACTTCAACATTCCAGTTTCTACCAGTAGGAGAAGTTATACTCCAGTGGGCAGTAAAGCCTAACTTCTAGAAAATCTAGCAAATGCTCTCAGTCACTGCTGTTCTCCCATTACTGGCTTGTTACTGGTTCATGTTGTCAAGAGGCAGGTCCTGCAGAACCTGCTGATTTTCCTGTTAGCTCTACAGAGGATTCATCAGGTTTTTTCATAGCAGTAGTAATGTAAATTGTAAAACTTAATTGTAATTTATATGTTTAAAGCAATATTATATTATCAAAAGCTTCTACAACTTAGGCAAGTTATGAATCCTGTAGTAATTGCAGCAGATATTAACACAGCTGTGTAAAAACAGGGCAGCAAACCACATGAACAGAACTGACAGCTTTGAGTAGCACACCACTGACTCTTCCTGTGGTCTGTACCTATACCTCTTCCTCGGTGACTGAGGAAGGTTTAAGAGGCAAGAGTCTCTTACTGCGAGTAGTTCCAGACAGTAAGCAAAGAAAGTACATTGTCTTCTTGGTGAGATAGGTCAATCATATTTTATGATTTAGGGCAGTCTCCCTTTCTAAAAATACCAGCAGTTTCCCAAATTTCTGCACTCCACCGAGAAGTTCCACAGCTCTCAGATGCAGTGTAGCCCTTCACAGATACGCTCTGCACTGTGTGACAAACATACCAGAGATAATAGCTGTAGCTGCCCTTGTGGCTCCAAATAAAACAAAAACATGAAATAGGAGCTTCTCAAAATAAGTGATTAGTTAAAGGTCTTGTTCCCAGGCAGTAAGTGCTAGACTACAAGTAAGGGTAAAGACAAGGTAAAGATAACCACATACTGTTTTTAACAAAGGTAGGACACTGCACAAAACCAGCTGTTCTCTTACAATCCAATTTAAAAGCACTTTTTTTCCCCCTAAATTTACTTACTACTAGTTTCTAATTTGTAATGAAAAAACCTCAGCAGTATTCTTTATGAAGTGGCTCCTACTTCTCCACTCAAAGTTATGCAGTATATCAAATGTCAGTGGTACCTACAGAATGGCTAATAACTTTTAATCAGTATTGAAGTTCTTTAGTCCAGTTGATCCAAGCATGCTCTAATAAAAAAAAAAACAACAAAGGAAAAGCAAGCAAAGCAGAACTGTACAGATGTAACTGGGTTAATTTACCTTTGCATTTCCAGAGCTGGGGAGGAAGCTCTGGTCTCAACCTAAATCTCTTAAATTTGCAGAGATAAATCGGTGCTAAAGAGAGGCCTCTGTTCACTAAGCCCTTTCAAAACAGTTTCTCTTAACAGCTAGGACTGCTGCAGCACTGTACAGTGTCTCGTTTAGGTATCTCAAGCTAACTGGAGATAAGCATCCCATTTATATCAGTGCCGTTCCTCAGGGACTGAGTGTTCTGTAGAGTTGCAGAAATACACACACTTCAACAGAATTCTACTAATAATGTAGTATTTTATAGCCCAGATGAGTCAGTGTGTTAAAAGAAGTGAAAGCAGTGTCAAGGTAATTTTTGTTTTCTGCACAAATGGTTGACACCAGGGACTTCTCCTGCACTTTTAGGTATCTATTTTGTACAGTAAGGGTAAGGTTCAAGTCATGTTATGTTACACAACATAATGATATGCTGCTGTACTCTCAGAATAAGGATATCTTTTGAAAGCAGCCAAGTCAAAGGAAACAGAGTTACGATCTACCTCTAGCTTCCCCCCAGGAAGCTCTGTTAAATAGTCAGTTCCTGAATGCTATCGCAGAAGCAATGAGGACCCTCAACTCAAAAGTGCTCACCTGGTGGCTCAGAAGCCTTTGGAAAATGATCCACAAAATAAAGGCAGCCTCACTGCTTTGAGTTACAGCAAGCTGAAAAGTAGTTACCCTTCAAATTCATACCCTGCATACTCCATCAAACAGTTTAAAAGCAGCTGAAGTAAAAAAAAATTCAAATATTTGCACGTCTTACAGAGGTACTTCACTTCTGAAATAACAGAATTGTTGACAAATGCGGTGAAGTAGCTGATCACTGCCATCCTGCAGCAGAGGTGACTGTGCTGCTGTTGAAATAACACACAGTGCATGGCTAAGCTTTGGAACGCCTTGGCATGGGACATCACAAACCCTGGAAATCCACAGAACTGACTCTGTTCTGTGAATTTTAAGTTTATTCTCTCAGTGTGTTAGAGCATTTCTGCATGGTCACATCCACAGTGCAGTCTCAACTGCTTCCTAAGGCATTCCTGGCACGTTACATCAAAGCCCAAGCACTAAGTGGCCCTTTCACCTACTGTAATGTCACCAGCACTGACACCAGTTAACAATACAGCCACATTGTCAGCTGCTGTAGAAGCATGTAGTATTTACTTAAATCAGTCAGAAGAGTCAACACAATCTGTTTGAACATTTACGGAGAGAACATAGCGCTGGGGAAGCAACATAGAACAGAAAAACTTCTCATTTATTAAATCTGCAATTTTCCAAAGTACCTTTATAAAAACTACTGGAATACCTGAAAAACATCTGTTGAGGTCAAGTACAGGGACCTTTAGAAACAGCAGGTTTGTTACAAAAGAAATGTGTGAACAGCAACAAGATAAGGTTTCTCACTGAGAAGCCACAGGAACCGGCACTGAAGACTCTCACAGGTGTGGGATTACACTGTTTTACCCACCACCTGTACCAATACCCATTGGGTGTTTGGAAGGAAAGTGCTTCAACACGAGTTTAAGAAATGCCCGGGCATCCCAAACATCACACCACTTCTTCACTGCAACAAAACCTTTAGTCAAGAAGCTTCTTGATCTTAACTGAAGAGCACCCCAAGAATTTTTAACAGTAACACCAGAATGCTTAATCTTTCTTGTTCATGATGCGTCTGTATCATACCTCCTTGGCACAGCACATTTATGCACGCACACTCCGAAACAGTAATCCAGAAAAACTGAAATTCTCCCAAATCCACATGTTCCCATACAAAATTATGCCTGATAGTTCAGCCAACACAGTTCTTTATTTCTTTCCTTTCTTGGCTGCAGTCTTCTTTCCTCCTTTCTTAGCATTACTCCTATATTTTGTTTCCAGATGGGCCAAAAAGTCATCCATTTCCTTTTTTCGATCTTTATTTCTGCTCTGGGAGAGTGGAAAAAAAAAAAACAACCATAACCAAACCTAAAATTTTACTGCTTCCCAATACAGATTATTCTAATGAAGTTGGATAGCTACATTAAAATATCAGAATAGATTAAACAGGGAATACAAGCTACAGGAGGTATGGTACTGTCAAGCAAGAGCCTACTTGTATACTCCAACTTCTGAAAGCGTCAAGACAAAAGTAATGAGTGGCTATAAAAAAATTATGCCACAAGGCTATGAAAACCAAAGCAATTTCTAGTTTAGACCCAAAACTCTATTACAATTTGAGGAATGATTAAGCACAAACATTTAGGAAGCCCACTGGGCAACAGGAAACACAAAACATTCCAAAACCAGAACACAAACAGTATGTTTGTTGCCTCGATCTCCAAGACAAAAAAAAAAAGCAAAATAATACTTAGAGACTTTTACGTTCTTGTGGGATCCTTCAGAAATAAAGAATCATTAACCCCCCCTGTTAAACTGCCCCAGACTAAAAGTTAAATATTTTTCCTGTGTATGCAGTAAGGATAGGCATGTTAGAGTAACTTAATTTTTGAAAACACACAGGTAATAAAATCTGTACCATACTGACTGTTAAAGTACATAGATAGTTAACATTAAGGTCAGATTTTAACCTCAGGAACTCAGAAGAGTTACAAGGATCCAACATACAAAGATGCTCAGGGAAAACACAATGATAAGCCAGGAACATAACTATCGTCAACAGATACAAGAAGCCTTACTTGAATCAGCGCTTTCAGGTCATCTTCTCCACCAAGGCCCAGTTCATCCTTAGCCTTTTCTGCCTCTCTAGCTTCTTTTTCTGCCTAAAATAGCAAACTAGTTTTTAAAAAAGTATTTTGCATGTGATTTGACAAAGTCTTACAGTAGTTACCAAATGCTTTATTTTGCACCTGTATATAAATAGCTACAAGGAAACAGTTTCCAAGGTTGGCCACAGATGAGACATCAGGCAAAGAGAAAGCCCATTCTGGTTCTGCAGTTCAGCAGAGCAGGACAGTTCTTTGCTATGTCACAATGCTGAACATGATGAGATGGCCATTCCCACCCCTGTATCCCCCACCCACACTTTTTTAGTCTTAGGAGCTATTACATTTTTTTACATTGGACAAAAGTTACTGTGATGTACATATAACGTATTCTACAAAGTGTCCAAAAAACCCCCAACAAAACAGGTTGGAGAAGAGGTCCATTTAGTCCAGAATGTTATTTCACACTTGCCAAAAGGCAGGCATTGTTGTATTTCCACCCCATACGCTTAACTCCAGCAACTCACAGCTTTGTAAATAAAAGCAGGGACATGCTAAGTTGTAATAACCCATCGTGTGTAGTAATGAAATACAGCAGTAATAGGCAACAGCCAATTACATCTCCAAAGCCTTTCACAACAATCTGGGATGGGGTAGGAGTGTAGAACACAGGGGACTAAATACAGAAGTCAAAGACACTGAGCAAGATCTGTAACCTAGCTATCCTGTGGCAAACATTTGTCTTTAGAACAGTTTTATTTATTTCTACCAAGGGAAAATAAAAGCTTGTAATAAATAATGTTTCCCTTTGGTCCCTGATTGATGTAACTTACCCGCCTTTTTCTTGCAATCATTTTCTGCTTAGACTCTTTTACAAAACCTTTGTAGGGTGGGACTTCTCCAGCATCAATGGCTTTTTCTATGATTTTCCGTATTCTTGGTTCATCTGTATAGTCCGCACACAACACTGACTCCATTATTCTGTCCATGTCACCCTCAAAATCCATGTAGGCTGCTTTAATATCCTCCAGCTCTTCTTCTGAATCCTTATAGCTCTTTTCGAAGTCTTCAATATCTTTTACAGTGATCTGAAGAAAAGAGGTGACACTTCTCGAGTTACAGGACTTATTCACCAGAAGGATTTAAGAGACAGCATTAAGAAACCCCAATGTTTTAAACAAACCTTGTAACGGAGACACGGCTACAACCCTGAAGCAGCGGGCTTCCCCTTCCCTCAGCGGAGGGTCCTGCCGAGGCGAGCCCTGTGTGGG